CCTCAAACAGACCCATCTGTGCTCTCGATGAGGTGATGTCTGGCTGGCTCTGCACGAATGCTACTAAAGTAGCTAAATGGCATTTACCCCTCAGTCGCTGTTGGATCGGGATTCAAACAAGATCTCAGGCAGATTAAAAGAAATGAGTCTATACAAATTACTGCAGGTTCTTACAAAATAAACATACTTTTTTTCCCCCCTTCAAAATAAACCTGTACCTTTCTTTCTGACAGATGCACTTAAATATGCTCCTTTGCTTGGCGTAAGGCTAATTAGTTATTTAAGATTAGATTAGCAAACGCTTCCTAAATGAGAGGAGTACAAACACAATTTAGTACCAGTTACTTATTTTGAGACAAGAACAGGAATATTTGTATCTATTACACTCATCAATCCACTAATAAGTGTAAAATAAAAATAATCATACCACATAAAACCTCCACATTTATTGGGCTAGAATACAAGGAAGAATTTGTGTGTGGACAACACACACACAAAAAAACATTTCTATACATTTGATTTATACAACCTTGGTTTCATATGTGGTCAAACCAACACATATGAACCCCAACAAGTCTGACCAAGACCCCTTAAATGATCTTTTCTTTTTATGACTGCAGCTGTAAATCTTTCTCTCGGTTATTTGGGGGAACTGCATGTTAAAATAGAAAAATTCAACAATAATCAGATCAGATATTACACATATTACTTCCAAACCTGGCTTGCTTCCTAACAATGTCAAAGTGAGCACATGCAATAGGTACCCATCCAGGCCAATTCCCACCTAAACCAAACAGAGGTTTTCCAGTGGTGACAACAAATCCGAGGTTGACTGTCTCCTGGTGTGTTCAACACGGGACAAAGGGCAACTTCACATTCAAGCCCGAAAACGGCTCAAGTTAGCGAGTTACTATAACTACATTCATCCTTTTTGATATTTGTATTCCTTGGTCACAAATGTTATTATCATTTCATTTTTTTTATACAAGTATGCATCTTGTTTTCTCTACTGCAGTGACCTCACGTTTGAAATGATTTTATTACGGCAGAGCAGTTAGACTTTGGTTTTTGGGCTCCGACCTCACAGGTCCCCAGAAATCATGCACAAAAACTGGAGTGATAATTTTTAGAGCCTGTCGGTGGACGTTGAGGTGTTAGAAGGGATGGATAGTGATGCAGGGCAGACCGCCAATTTGTGCTGTGTTTGTTATATCGTATAAGTAGAGAGTGCCATGTTATGTGTGTGACGCAGCATAGCTCGAGCTGCCTACCTCAACTAGCTAGTAGTAAGGACTAGGAGTGGGCGATATAAACGATATACGATAGAAACTATATAAATTTGGCCAACGATAGAGATTTTGACTATATCGCTCTATCGCATATTGATGATGTCATCAAACTGCGCCTGTTTTGGTTGAAACCATCGCAGCGGCTAAAACCATTATCATCTGCAAATTATAGCGGGCGACAGTCATAGCAAAGAGATGAAGCACTTTTGAAATATGGGGAAAGCCAAAAACTGCGCTTCCTCTACTTGCGTAACATTAATTGATTCATTAATGTTGAATTCTCTCGCATCTGTTCTATTCCCATGTTGTTGCAGTATATTAATAACTAACCTTGTATTGTGGATGAATGATCTCATTTGTTCTTCTGACTGAAGTTTGGCCCGTGTATAGCATCCTGCTATGCGATTGCATTTGTCCCTAACCACCAGAATCCCTCACGTTAACTTTTATCGAGTGGAAAAAAAGTTGGCGTTCATCCTCCAGCTTCACTGTGCTAATGTTATGCTAACATAGCTGTGTCGCTAGCAATCACGTAGCACAACATTATATACCAGGTAGTCCAACTTCAGTAACCCTGCAAACGCCACTGCTGTTTAGTTTTCTGTCTTCATTTATGTTGGAAGTGGTAGCAGAGCTGTACGTTTGAATTAGTTTCAAAAATCTCTCAGTCAGAACTTGGTATGAAATGTTTAGGTGTAAACTAGCGAGCTAACTTCCTGTTAACTTCTAACTCCGTTAAATTAAATAAATTCTGTTTTCATGGATGTAAAACTTAATTGTTACACCCGATAAAGCAGCAACGCTGATGATTTAATTACAGATGAAAGAATTTAGACCGTTTTTAACTCTTAGTGTTCGTTTGACTTTGGGACCTGAAGGGGACGGAGTTTTGGACCCAGATTACTCCGTGAAGCTCCTCACTACGGCAGCCGTAATGCTCTGACAATCCATCAAGCAGTGCGGCTTACCAAAGTTGTACTAAAACATTTTTTAACAGATTTCTGCGCGCCAAAATCAGTTCGAGGTCAGTAAGCACAACCAGAATTCATACATAAGGCACTCTCTCGATTTTTGAGAAAATTAAAGGATTCTAAGTGTGCCTTATAGTGTGGAAAATACGTTATACAGAAGAAAAGAATATATCGCGATATATATCGTTACCGCACATGCTTCAAATTATATGCGATATGAATTTTAGCCCATATCGTCCAGCCCTAGTAAGGACCACTGTCTGTATAAGTAGGTGTCCTGTTAACAACAGCAGAATTGTGATGCAGGCTGTAATGAATGTGTGGCTCTTTTTTTAACAACACATCCATTTATTTTGAGTTCGGGGAAAGGACCGGGCTAAGTACTATTTTTTTTCTTACTGAGAGCAGTCTTTACACATATTTCAGTTCTATCGCACAAAGCATTGGAGTTTTTGCACCACTCTTTATTGTAGAGTTTCACTGTCACAAATCCTTTTCTCAGCATTTCTGACTTGTTGGTGATATTTTCTGCCGCTTTTATAGTTTGGCAGAGGTTACAGAATAACTTCAGCACCTTGTACAACAGGTATCATCGATGCACATCTACTTCTAACACCTGCAGGTGTCACCCCAGCTGCTCGGACTCAGGCTGGCAGGGTTATACTCTGAGTTAGCATGGTCTCATCTGCACACACTTTGGTGCCGCAGGGATGAGGAGGAAAAAGAACGGGAGGAGGAGATCTGTTTACCACTGCCATAACCAGATTAATGGCTCTGTCGGCCAATCAGACAACACTGATGGGGAATCCCTGAGAAGATAGAAAGTAAAAATAATAATAATAAAGAAATAAATAAAAATAGCCCTGGCCTAGCCTTCCTGACCAATGGCCAGGTCCACAGAGAGGTGTATAAATAAATAAGGGAAATAAATAAAAGAGGAGGGAAACACATCCTGAGGGCATCCCCTACTGGCGTAGACAGCGCTGCCTCTCATCCCTCCCTCTTTCAGCATCTTCCACTCCAACCAATCACTCACACTATTTGAAGTTATTTGCTTGCACTCCCTCAGTCCCACACATCTCCCCCCCTCCCACCCCTCCAAACTCTGCTCCCTCACTTTCATTCTTTCTTATTAATGATCTCATTTCTCACTCTCCTTCCCTGAGGCCCAGAATGAGGTTAGATCTGCAGTCTGACCTATAAACACTGCCATGGAAACTGCAACGTGTTACAGCGAGACACCTCTTTAACACGGAGCATGGGGTGGAGGGCTGGTGGAGGGTGAGTGTGTGTGTGTGGGGTTGGGGGGTTCTCTCACCTTTATCTTAGCCAGAGGGCTATCAGATGCGAGATTTGCTTCACTTTCAACAATCCTTATCCAGGCAGAACTATTTTTCCCCACTTTCTGATTTCTTTGCTCTTTAAGAGCAAATGGAAACCGTGACTTTGCTTGCTCGTGCTATCAGCTTCTTGTGGGAAGGGTTGGGGTCTAAATTAACATTATAGCGCTCTTTACCTCTCCTTCAAAAATTCTTGTGCTGTTGTCACTGATATCCAGATACTACTGAATTCAACTTTATTTATACAGCGCCAAATCACAACAACAATCGCCTCAAAACACTTTATATTGTAGAGTAAAACCTAGAATAACAGAGAGAAACCCCCAACAATCAGATAACCACCTATGAGCAAGCACTTGGCGACAGTGGGAAGGAAAATCTTCCTTTTAAGAGGAAGAAACCTCTGGCAGAACCAGGCTCCAGGAGAGGGACAACGATCTGCCACGACATGTTGGGGGAAGTTAGGTAGAGGGTGGGAGATACTTGGTTTCAAATATTCCATCTAGGAGGGAGAAATTTCTCAAGATACTGTGAATTTAGCAACAAAGCTATTACTCCACTAACATCTGCAGAACAAAATATTGGGCCTTTTTCTACTAAAGCACATGATACCCACAGAGTTGTGATCATGTATAACATTTCCATCACATTGCTCTGAATAGATTGACTACCAAACCATTGGATTCACAAGCACAATCGATTGCACGGTGGAATCCAAAAGCCAACATTTACTCCACATTTGCATGTTTGCTTCACTCTGAGTGACACTATACAAATTCACCTATGAAGTAACTCAAACTGAATCACAGAGCAAAGCCTAGTAAACATCAACTGTTTTGAGAAATAAGTTCAATTTTAGTCTGAGTTTCAAGCAGGAGAAATGGGTACAGAGTAAGAAACACCAGGATGGGATTTGCTTAAATCTCATTTAAGGGGTGAACCCATGGTCGAGGGGTTTTAGGCGCTTACCAAATCGGCTAAAGCAGCCTAGTTCCCGGATCAACACCCAGCCAGAACTTTGCTGCATGTCATTCCCCTGTTCTATCCCCACATTTCCTGTCAATCTCCACTCCACTCTATCGAAATAATAAAGGAAAAATATTATAACATGTTCACAGAGGCAGCCATAATGACATTTAGAGCTGGGTGATTTTCCTCTACCACATATGGCTATAGATTCTGAATTCAATCAAGTCTGACTAACATCACTAATTATATCAGTGCTGTCCTACATGTTGGGCTGACTATGCGGTTACGATTACAAATGGTTTATAAATGTTAGTTTAAATGTTGCTTCTGTGGGATATTCATCAAGGGCGTCTGTGAATGTGGTCTGTGGAATTCTGGCGATGAAACCTGCTACAAAATTCAGAAGTTAAAAGCGAAGACAGAAGCCTCACCGGCAGACTGGATGGCCGCGCCTGCATGCTGTCTTCTTGACTGCTCTTGTTTGGCTGGTTAGATGGAGGAGCGCTGGACTGTGAGCTGAAGGAATCCTGGGAGAGTTCCTGATTGGAAGAACGAAGACAAGAGACAAAACGGACACAATGTAAAAAAAATAAAAATAAAATCTCAGAGTCGAGCATTTATTACTGCTTGTTCCCTTTTTGCAGTGCACAGCTAATATAACCACTGTCACACTGATACAAATAACAGATCTCCACTGGGCTGGATAAATGTAGAGAGCCGTGACCGACTGTGATTTGAATATTTACTGTACGTCATGTTTGTGTTGCCACAGGGCTCACATGGCATGGGGAAAACTCACTGCTTATTCTACAGCTTGTGCTTCAACTTATCATATTATTTTATTTATTTTTTACAAGAAACTACTAAAAACTGCCCCGTTCTGTCAACGGTCTTGTGTGCGGTCCATTTCCTGTTGTTCATACTATCCATTTAACAGACAGGAGCCTGTTTAATTAACTAAGTAATTAAAGCTTAATTACCAACAAAGCAGCTCTGAGTGGGCCACACCAAAGGTTTATTCAAAAGCTCTCATGGCTGTTTCCCTGTTTAACCCTTGTAGAGCAGCATCTCACTTCTTCCATGTGTTTTTGCTATGGAAAGCTGAGCGTGCAATGTTCTTTTCAACCGACTATTGAAAGTTATCAAGTGAAGGCATTTCCTGGGAAGCAGGCAGTTTGCAGTGCCACTGTTAGATCGGCACGGACATCATTACAGCACTGATTAAGTACAGTAAAGTCAAGAGCATGTGTCAGCGCAGGAATCTCCTGCTAATGGAAACACAGTTGCCCCTGACACAGCACATCACATCAAATTACAGCTAAAGTGTTCTAATAGAGTTTTGTGTAAGGATTACCTGTGGAGGAGGTGGGAACCTCTGATAAGGTGACTGCTGCTGCTGCTGTTGTTGTTGTTGTGGTGGTGGTTGCTGCTGCTGCTGCTGTTGTTGTTGTTGCTGCTGTTGCAGCGGGGGAGTCTGAGAATATGGTGATGGCTGGCCCTGCTGGCCATGACCTGGAGGCTGTTGGGCTTGAGGAGGTGGACCTCCTGGTTGTTGTTGTTGTTGTTGCTGCTGCTGCTGTTGTTGTTGTGGTGGTTGTTGTTGTGGGGGCCCTTGTTGTTGTGGGGTTTGCTGCTGTGGTGGCTGCCCTGGACCAGAGGGTTGCGGGTACCCAGGCTGGCCCTGAGAGCCCTGCTGACTTTGCGGACCAGGTCCCTGCTGCTGCTGCTGCTGCTGTTGTTGACTCTGCTGTTGCTGGGGAGATACATAGGGTGGCTGTCCTGGCTGAGACTGCTGGGGCTGGCTATACGGAGGTTGACTCTGAGGAGGGCCGTGGGGACCTTGAGATTGTTGGTATGGGGGTCCTGGCTGCCCGTGTTGGCCTGGAGTCTGCGAAGGATGGCCCTGTTGGGGGTATGAAGGTCCAGAGGTTCCCTGGGGTTGGCCAGAGTATGGAGGTTGCTGCTGTCCAGGGTGAGGCGCAGGGCCATGCTGACCATAGTAGCCCTGACTTTGCTGTCCATAGCCTCCTGGGCCCTGTTGTCCATATGCTGACATCTAGAAAATAGGATATCAGTTATCAACAGTAGTTTATCTTCAAAGGGGAAGACTAGCGATGCTTGATCTGAAAGTGCGAGCAGACACAACCAGGCACAGTTTTACTATCCGGAGCCCCTCTGTGGAATATCAGTCACTACCTGAATACAGCATGTGTACTGATGGGATCTGCAGAAATATATAAAAATAACTCAATATTCAAAGTCACCTCTTTAGTTTTTTTCCCCTTTTCATTTTTTACCATTCATTCTCCACAGAGTAATCAGAGCATCTCTTCATCTTCCTCACAGATTAAACAGAAAAGACAAACTGCCCCCCCACCCCTCAGTTTGAGTGGTGTGTTCCTCACTATAAACTGATCAGTCAAAGCACATAAGAAAAAGCATCCAAGTGTCGGAATTCAGCCGTGTATTGCTTTAAATTACTGGCATGAAAATAAAAATTGAGTTTTGACTTCATCTCCTTGAACTTCAATATGAGCCTTTTCATATTCTGCCCGAACCTGCTCGCGGAATGCCTTTCAATACCAGTGTTTTTGTTTCATTACCCTCAAGGAACATGGAAGGAGAAAGCGCTGACCTTGTGAGGAAACACTGTAATAAGAAAAGAAGAAGGGGGGGGGGGGAGCCATGTGTGGGGGTTTTTCTTCTTCGCAAGGGGACTGAAGGGGGGTGAGGGGGTTCTCAGCTACTCGAGAACTATAAGAAAATACAAGATAGTAAAGAATGGCCTCACATTTAAAACAACATGAAGTGGCTGTATTGTATCTGTCTGACAAAGGCGGGGAAGCCGTTTTCTTCTCTGCAGGGCACTTATCGAGTCCACGGTCAAACACCAGGCAGGCCAGTATGAGATAATCACACCACACAATGGGCACAAGACCACAGGCAGCGGACGCACAAGAAAAAGGCTTCACTCTACGGGATTCCCTGCATGCATTTCTCTGTTAAGATGAACTGCCTGGCTGATAGAGTTCAAGAAGGGGCTTATTCCTAGCTATGAGTAAGTAGCTATAGCAAACTGGATGTTTGCCGTTTTCAATTGGACAACGCTGTCAGAAGGTGCTGCCCACTGTGCCTGTCGACACAGCTTGGATTTCCCCCCCATCTTTGGCTTTCAAGCATGAAAATAAATCAGACAGTGGGAAACTGATGGGCTGCTCTCTTTTGTGTCTATCCCTGTAAAGAGTTTTTTTCACCCCTCCTCTTTCTTCAGAGCCTTTTGGGATTCAAGTGAAAAAGATACAGAAACACAGTTTGGTTGGACTCTTCAGAGGAGGTTCGTGGATGTAGTTGAGGAAGGGTTGGTGTGACAGAAGAGGCAGAATTTTGGTTGGGGCTTTCATCCACCCTAATAACTTATTATTTAAAGTCCTGTTTAAGTATGCAAGGTAAGAGACACTCAAGGTGACAATGCTGATATTTCTTTGATGTCTAGCAGAGCAGGTGAATGTTATTTGGTTATATGTTAATGCACTTTATCCTCTCTAGTTTACAAGATATATCTAGTTAAAAAAAACAGACACAGGGCCACACTGTAAGTCTTTCAGATCTTTAGCTTTTTGTTTAATTACAATTGTTATGCTAAGCTAACTGTCAGATATGACATCGAC